TTACTTATGGAGAATTAAATCAAAATATTGGGGGGGAATAACAATATGTAATTCACCCAAATCCGTTTCATTTTTCTTGTTTAATTGAGGGATGAGTAAATTAACAGCAGAGAACTAAATCATTCTGCCGTTAGTCGGTAACAGTGACCAGCTGATTAAAAATATGCTGCGATATTAATGGCCCCAGCGCAAGTATCAGCACAAAAAAATGCTGTGGACATATATATATATCTATATAATATATATATATATATATATATATATATCTAGATATGTTGTGCGTGTGTGGGTGGTATGTGTGTGGTGTGTGTGTGTGTATATATACACATAAAATATATATGTATAATATATATTTATATGAATACATTTATTTATTATAAATATATATATATATTTACGTATATTAAGATATAATATATATATATAATAATACACATATACATATACATATTGTGTGTGTGTGTGTATTATATGTGGTGTAATTATATATATAATATATATATATTGATATATATATAAATATAAAGGGAAAACCAAAAAAAAATAAAATTATCAAAAATTTAAAAATTATCAAAATTGTTAAAACGTAAAAATCCAGAAAAGAATCAGAAAAGGCTGTTAAAGAGAAGCAAAGAGAAGCGAATAAAGAGCTATTCCGAGAAAGAGAGTGAAAATTAGCAGGAGAAGAGGCAAAGAAGAAAGAGAGTCAGGAGCGAGAAGAAAGAGAGAAAGAGAAAGAGAGGCGAGAGATAGAGAAGAGAGAGAAGAGATAAGAGAAGTATAGGAGCTAGAAGGGTGAATATGAGGAGAGGCAAGAGAAGAGCGATAGCGAGAGTCTATATATTAGAGAGAGAAAAGACTCTATGTCTTTCTCTTTAGAGAGAAGGAGTGAAGAGAGAGAGAGAGAGAGGGAGAGAGAGAATACAGAGAGGTACATATAGACTTATACATAAATATAAATAACCAATACCTTTCTCAAAGTCAGTCTATATGAGAAAGTACAATATAAGGATAACTATAAAGTAACATAAATTCCTAAAGTGGGCTATGTTTCCTTCTTGATACGACTGTGCCGTAATTATAGATAATGTCTGTAGTAGTTTTAAGGTTATCACCAGCTCTTACGGAAGTGGTAGTAATAATGGTAAAGGTGGTAAGTCGTACCATGAGCCTGTGTTTTTAGACGAAAGGTCAATGGTAATGCTATAGAGATGTAAGTAGTAACTTCATCCTATTAGTGGGATGGTACCAAAGGGGTCCCTATCGTTATGTGCTAGTAATGGTAGTAACAGTCGTATCATTCTTTGCGCTACGTACGAAAGTGGTAGTAAATCTGGTAAATAGTAACCACTTCGTAACATTTGCCAGTTGCTACATCCAGCAAAGAACGTTATCAAAACGAGGAATTTTAACTGATGATAGTTTTAATGGTAATAATATTATTATATGAAAGATGGTAATTCTGGTACTAAACAACTTCCTTGTGTGCAATTTGTGAGAATTGGAAATAAAGTTGTTGAATTCCTTCATACTTTCAGTAGCCATTTATTCCTCCTCCTATAAACCCACTGGGTCAAGTTAAAGGAAAAAAAAAATTCACCTCCCCTATAATATACAAACCAAATGTCAGCAAGTCACACACGACACACACACCACACACACACACACACACACACACCCACACACACACACACTTCACACACCACACGAGAGCAATCTCTCTCGGGTAAATCTATGTCAGATCACCATACCTTTAAAAGTAATCACCATCAGGCTGGATTCAAAATGCAATCAACACTATGAATCATAATATCATGTACTATTGTGAGGGGATACTCGCTTCACACCTCTGACTTTGTTCCCCAATTTATTCTATTAACCTTTGCTAATTGCCATAAAGAATTGCATAAATCTTAACCAACCATTACCTCACAAAACCTAGCTCGTTGTCGTCGTGGGAGGGCTTAGGAGACGGGGACTGAGACCCAATGTACAGGATTACCCCTACCTTGGGCCTCAGCCCTTGCCTCAATTAATTTTGCTTGGTCCTTTCTTCTCTTCTTTCCTCTTCCGTATCTTCTTTACTCCCCTCTTCTATCCCATTCCTAAGGTGTGAGAGCCGTGCTGAAAGGATGAAAGGCTGGCTTTGTGTCAATCACGAACGGCCTCCGGGAGCCATGGGCACGGTATTCTATTGGTTAATTAATTAGCCCTGACCCCTTATGGGGACCCTAAGGGGTAGACCATTTCTTTTCCCCAGTTTATTCAGGCTCACCATGGCCAGTAATGAAGATTCCTTACCCTTGATAGAGGCATTAAGGCTTGCCCCTTCACCAAGTAGCCTATCTGAATTTGATTTTGATGGTTTTCCGACCCCTGCCCCTCCTTTGACCACGGCTCCGACCAATGATGCTAGTACCCCCTCCGACACTTACGAACAACTCTAACCATTCTGAAAAACCCATTCAGGTTGTTACTCAACCCCTAGAAAATACCTTTTCCTCATCCCCAATATTCTCCTCTTCATCCCCTATTGTACAACCCTCTTAAATGTCAACCCCCTCTTCCCTTATTACTGCTCTTCATCCTTATTGTCCTCCCCCCCACAGAACTACTCCACTCCACACCACCCCATCTTCCTCTCGCCCTCGTCCTTCTACTACATCTACTTCTGCAAACCTTCTGGGTACTCTATTTGGCCCAGCCAAGTGGGATCGATTCTTTGTGATTCCCCGCACAGTCCCCTATTCTGAGAATACCCTTCTCTTTCAGCAGTGCCTCCAGAAACAAGTAGGCAAGGTTACCTTTCGCAGTCGCTCTGATCTTTCACGCCTTGTCACAGTTACATCTGAAGCTCAAGCTCGTGCACTATCTGCCCTAACTGACCTTATTAGCAAACCCATTCCTGCTGCTGAATCTCACCCAACTCTCAATACTTGTACTTGAACTGTTTCTATTCCCCCAAATGCTTGTCCCATGCATAACAAGGATTGGTCAGACTCTGAAAATGACCTACTTTCTTGCCTTGATGAATATGATGCAGGCAGTACAGTGTTACACTTCCTCATACAGGCCAACATAAATCTCATGTCAATATTGCCAAGATAGCTTCCATAGACAAGATCTCCCCCATGAGGTTATATTGGTGGATTGTCTTATCATGTCAGACAAATATCAACCCTTTCCTCGTCAATGTCAAAAATGTTGGCGTTTTAGCCACCCAGCCAAACATTGTTGCTCCACAGCCCAATGCCCTTTATGTGCCCAACCTGGTCATGACCGTTCAAAATTGTCCAGCTCAGTCACGTACATGTGCCAATTGCGGAGACTCCCATAATGTGTTTTATAGGAGCTGCCCTGCCTATAAGTTTGAATGTGGTAGCAGTCCTCAGATTTAAACTAGCCCTCACTCTATGAGAGGCCAGACAGGAAGCATGACAACGAGGTTTTTCAAGATATTTCTGCATCTCCCGATATCTTTTCCCAATACCCAAAACCTACATCCTATGTCTACTCACCCTATCCACCAGTCAAATCCAGATACTCCAATCTCTACCACTTCCCGGATACCTACCCCTCCTCCTCACTTTAGTTGTCGTACCAGACAACCTAAGCGTTCCACTCCACACTCTCCTACTACATTCTCTCCTACACCATCCTCTTCATCTGTTCCTCAGATATCCATCTCCTTTCAGCCTCCTTATAAGAGAACCTTTGTTTCTCAGTCCTCTATACCAAATTCCCCTTCAGAAACCCTTGAAGACATCCAAAACTTCCTAAAGATGACCCAGGGAATACTCCGCTCCCTCATCCACCCCCAGTCCCTCTGTTCCTACTCCTGCTACATTTAAAGTATTTGCATATATTCATCCTCCTCCTTCCCAAGTTCCCTCCACCCCCTTCCTCCTACACCCTCCCAACATACCCCACCCTCTCTACCACTTGAATACTCACACGAATCCTCTCTATCACAACAGTGTCCTTCTCCAGACCCCTCCTCTCCAAACATTTTTCCTAGTGTTTCCTTGATCAGTGTCCCTACTCCTTCCCTAGTCACAGATACACTGCAATTCACTCACTTGCTCTGCCCCCTTATGTTCCCCCAACCCCTTCCCAAGATGCCTCATCCTCTCAACCACCCAAACCGCCCATACCACCCAAACTGAACCTTCTCCCAAAACCCCATCCTTCCCTACTATCCCTCCCATTCCCTCCTGGATATACATGTGAATCTCTTTTATCACAATATCCTTCCCCAGACCCCTGTCCCTATCAAACCCCCAGACACTACTCCTTCACCTATTCCTGATCCTTTGTCTCAACCCCCAGATACCTAATCCCCTACTACTAATACAACCATATATAACATTATCACCTATTATCCCTATTCCTTCCCCAGTCACAGATACAATACAATTCATTTCATCAATCTGCCTCATTAACCTTTCCCATTTATTAATCACTGCTCTAATTCATTTTCTTCCCTCCTTTCCCCTTTTCATTACCATACTTTCCTGTAACAACCTCTAATCTTTGATATTTAACACCATCCCCTCTCCCCGGATTTTTCTCTTACTCTTCAACAGCTATCTCTATTCTTCCTTAAACATTTT